GGGGACTCAGGGAGAGAGAAGAGAGGAGTGAACGCTTGGCGCAGTAGGTCCGGTCTCACTTGCTTTTATTCTCCCCTCACCCCAGCCCTGCTGATACTATCCTGGGAATATGAGGCTGTAGAGCTGTTTCTTTTGATTCTTTCAACAGCGGTGACAGGAGGATGAAACCCATCAACTTAATTAGACCCTGAATGCTCTAAAGGTTCAGCTGCAGAATTAGTAAGCTCATTCCTTTGCTTTTCTGTGACTTGGGTTACATTCCAAGTCAATATTAACATAAAGATAGCCAGGTGGACAGTTTCAGAAGAGCGTGACTTGTCTTTTTCTTTTGTCTTCTGGGCAAGCTCTTGTAGAAGGTGACACGTTCCCTCCTGATTTCATTTCAAAATGCTCTTATTATGAAGACTGGGTGGAGCCCTGGCTCGTATTCCTGGACTTTGACTTGCACAAGTAGTCTTCTTCTTTATCTCGGCATACTTGGCGTCTGGGGCGCGGGGAGTTGGCGGTAGCCTAGTCCTAACAGTCCGCTGCCGGGTGTTCTGATTGGCTTTATCTGAAGTGCGGGTTAGACCTTCACTGACCTGGCTAACCGAGGATGCAGCTGGACAGAAGAGGAATGGAAACAAGCTGGCCTTGCGGCAAGTAGAATGGCCAACATCTTTACAGTCCCCTTTAGGTTAAACTGAACAATTTAATACCGATTCTTACCAGTTAAACCTGACTTTCTTGAAAAGGACATTGGTTATTATTACCATACTGTTATAATGGATATCATTTATTAAACAATAAATAATGGCTATAATTTTTTAATACTTACGATGTCATTTGATGCTCAAAACTATCCTATAAGATAGACACTATTATTATCCACATTTTAGAGTTGAGAAAAGTAAGCGTTAGAGAGGTGAAAAACTGTTGCAAGGAGACTTGGGTAGAAGGTTGAGAATCCGGGATTTGAGCGAAAGCCTGTATTTTCAACCACAGTGTGGCTTTGTCTCCCACTTCATCATAGGTTTTGGTAGAAATGTCGATTTGGGGGAACTTAATGATTCAGGTATGGCTGTTTAAGAATATTTCTCTATTTATTAACAGTTCAGTGAAGTTGGAATAAATTGAAAGTCACCACTAATCTCTAGCTTATCC